TTCCTATGACTTTTAAACTTTTCTCGTTCAATTGTTTTTTAGAATTGAAAACAATGTCATGAGTTACCATAACGATAGCGTTAAAAATTACTTTTTCGATATTAATGCTCTTGAAAACGGTTAACGTTATCTCGAATTTTATGTTTCTGAACACAATATAAATGCAGCGCTGCAAATAAATTAGCTTTTTTTTGCACGTGATTTGTTATTCTAGCCTGATACTTTCTAATAACAGAACGCAATTCTAGTTTCTGATATGGAAACTTGTTTTGGATAGTCATGTATGAATAAGTTTCAACAACAAAATATGAATACTTAATTTTACACAATATAAATGCAGCGCTGCAATAAAGTTGCTTTTTTGAACGTGATTTGTTATTCTAGCGTGATAATTTATAATAACAGAACGTAATTCAAGTTTCTGAAATCGAGCCTTGTTATGGAGCCTTTAATAAGTTTCAACAACAAAAGATAGATAATTAATTTTAATGGATATCTAAAAAAATATAGTTTTTTATTGTAAAAGGTGCTAATATGAAAAATTTTACATTTGTAAAACAAAATAAAATAAATTGAACAAAACGATAGGTTTTTATACTTATAATAACGCAATTAAGAAATAGTTGATAATGGGAATAAAAATAAGAAAATTTGGTCATAAAACAAGTTTTCCTATTTGTAATTTTATTATTAAACATAAAAATTATTCTACAATTATTCGACATTGTTATCTTCGTTTTTCGAATATTATCATCTTCAAAAAAGTGTTTTTCGGATATCCTGTTTATTTTATGGATTATATTGAAACGCAATTTGGAAAAATATTAAGTAAATTAACTTTAAATCTGGCTCTTAATCTTTTTAATTAAGACATTATTAAAATTTTAAATTCCCTTGTTAATGAAATTAGTTCCTCATGACGTCTCCATAGTGCATGGAAATGCATTTTACCCTAATTCGCCTTTCTCAACCACTGCGGTTTTTCGTGTTCTATTTTTTTTTCATAATTTCCCTCTCGACTTCTGGAGTTTTTTTTCTTTCCAGTTTTGTTTCTCGCCTTTATTTTCTTTTGCTGGGCAACTTTTTATCTTACGTTTCAAATCGCTTTTGTTTCTTCTCCTTAACGTCTAGCAGGACTTGGAAATGAGCGCCATTTTTGGAGCTCTTGAAATATGCTAACTACTTCTTTTTCCCATTTTTATATTTTTGAAGCAAATGAAGTTTTTAATCATGTAATATCTTACCTTTTCAGTTTCTTGGGATTATTTATTAAATATCACTATTTTATTGATGTAAGTATTAATAGAGGACAAAATTGTTTTTTGTTCCCATGCACATAAAAGCAACTGAATATTTTAGTTGTACATGTTTATTTAAAATATACGTAAAATATGTTTAAAATGTCAAATTTCAATAAAACAATATCCATTTTTCATAACTTTTTCAAAGAAGAGGAAAATAATTTATTTGTCGAACGGATTTGTTAATTTTATTTTTATGTCAGAACCTGACTTCATATGTTTTTTAATCGTAGACTAGAATTGCTTTCGATGAAATATTTTTTCAAACGAATATAACATTATTTAAACTGCAAATAGCTTAAAAATGTTCTTTTCCTAAAGTTCATTTTAATTTTATTTATAATTTTATTTAATTTCATACGTTGCGTTTTTGGAGCAAACAACTTGTGCTCACATGCTATATGAAAATTCAACAAATTCAAGGAAACGTTATCTGCATAATCAATGAAACTTTTATCAGGTTTTTAATTTAACATTAGTTCAGTAATTATTTCCTAACAGACAGCCTATTCCATTAACAAAGATTATAATAACCCTAGTATTTGATAACTTATGCAGCATAAGTTAACACAAATAATACATAAGAAAGTTATTTTGAAGGTGTTCACTAAGTTTTACTTTATAAATTATATTTATTTATTCACAAGATTGTTTCGAGCTCAATATATTTAAAAGATATATTATGCACGAATGAAAACTAAGAAAAAATAGTATATTACAAAGCATTCCCTAATTAGAATGATTTAATTGTAATTTCCTTCCTAAGTCACATAATTTAAGCTTTTTTTATGTCTTAAAACTATTTCTGTCACAATGTTGTTTATAACAATCATTTTTCAGTTTATTTTAAATTTGGTTTTCAACGCAACACATTTCAATACTTACTGACTAAAAAAACGTTAAGCAGCTTTTTTTTTCTTCAAAAAAAGACTAGTTGAATTTTTTTTAATTGTAGTATATTGAGTATTAAAATTTTATTTAAAACTTTTTGTGAATAAAAAATGACTAGACAAATACAAAAGTCATAGGGCAGCTACATAATCTGAACTAGGGTGTACAGTTGCCGCCATTTTCGGTATTGAGTTAAACTAACTACTTTACGTACAGAAATGTAGTTCTGGTGCAAAAAATCCTATAAAATTGACAATTGTTTAATAGAGTCAATGCGAATATATTACTAAAAATGGGCTTTTTAAAATAAATGCTTTTGCAATAATTCCATAAATTGATTTTAATGCGCATGAAAACATGTGTTGTAAGTAAATAAACAAATCCAATCATATTGATTTTTTTAAGCATTTGTGTAATAATAATAATTTTCCATACTAAAAAAGTAAGAAAGAATGGCCGATTTTAAATAATGATTGTTCATAAAATTTGTGTGTCGAATAAACTTCATTGAAATTCTTTATAACATAATTCTTTTTCTTGTAATAAAATATTATTAAAAATATTTTGTTTGTAATAAAATATTGTGTAACATATAAATAGAGAGAGTTCTTGATGTCGATCGAAAATACATTTTAGCTTGAATTTGACAGCATACCTCATATACACCGAAGAACCATTACATTATGACCACCCTCCATCCATAACAATGGGCTCTCCCAGGTTTTCATGGTTTCTCGCCCTGGAACAATGTTTTCATGGGGCACATTAGGACCCATAATCCTCATAGAACAATCCCTGACGTCTGTAAGCTACTTGAACATAGTTGCAGACCAGGTTCACCCATTCATGGCAACAGTTTTTCCTGCGGGGAATGGTGTTTACCAACAGGATAAGGCACCATGTCATAAAGGTCAAATCGTCATAGAATGGTTCGAGGAACATTCCAGTGACTTTCAAGTCATGTCTTGGCCCCCAAATTCACCTGACCTTAATCCAATAGAGTATTTGAGGTCCTACTTGGAAAACCAAATTCGTGCTGCAACATTGCCAAATTCGTGCTGCCACAACCAAATCCCACCCCCTCGCAAAGTGAGGGATTTGCAGGACCAGTTTTAGAGCGCTTGGTACCAGATACCTCAAACTACCTATCAGCACCTTGTGGAATCAATGCCAAGGCGGGTGCTAGCAGTTTTAAGGGCTAAAGGTGGTCCTACATATTATTAGCAGGGTGGTCATAACGTAATGGCTCTTTGGTGTATATGTTTACATTACCGCTCATTCATAATCTTATTTTTGCTCCTAAAACATTCAAAATGCGAAACTTCATACTGTGGTAGATGTTAATTATAAAGCTGTCTCCATTCCTCTCTGTATCAAACATTGGTCACAAAAAAGATGAAAATATGTGTATTGTAGTATATCATACATTGTGTTATGCACAATGTACTACATGAGACCAAATATATTAATCATAACGATAAATTAACTAGTAAACCAATAAACAAGTTTATATTGGAACAAATTTGTACTTCTTATTTAAATCATAACGTTAATTTAACTAGTAAATCAATAAACAAGTTTATATTGGAAAAAGTTTATTTCTTATTTAAATCATAACAATAAATTAACTAGTAAATCAATAAAAAAATTTGCATTGGAGTCAGTTAGTATTTCTTATTTAAATAATAGCAATAAACTAACTAGTAAATCAATAAGAAGTTTGCGATGGAACAAGTTTGTATTTCTTATTTAACTCATAACAATAAACTAACTAGTAAATCAATAAGAAGTCTGGGTAAGAACTAGTTTGTATTTCTTATTTAAATCATATAACAATAAATTAACCAGTAAATCAATAAAAAAAAGTTTATATTGGAAAAAGTTTGTATACCTTACTTAAATCATAACCATAATTTAACTAGTATATCAATAAAGGTGAAAAGCTTTTATAGTCATCCCTTAAAAAATTCTAATATCCTGTAAAAATGTTTAAAAGGGGATGTTCCACTTATAAAATTAAATCACGTATTTATTATTATTTTACAGCCGCTCATAAAACATAAAGTTAATATTTATTTCATGATAACTTCCGATATACTTAGTTATTAACCCACGAATTTTAAAATGTGGGTCTTAAACTATGTTAAATTCTGAAGTATTTAATAATTTTCAATATTAACTGTGACATATAAAAAGCAAATTCCTCTGTCGATGTTTACGAAAAACATTTCAACAAAAAGTTTAAATAAAGTATGTTTGAAATTGCTGTTTAAAAATTTGTTTGTAGTACAAGTTTGTATTTCTTACTTCAATCATAAAAATAAGTTAAAAATTTTTCTTAAGTGATATATTAGTAAAATTAAAACATTAAATCGTTATTAAAATTCTAGCAACTAATCAGGAGGGAGTTTCATTTCTTTTCACATCTTTGAAGGGAGTTGGACTGTTAAAATAAATCAGATATTTATTATTATATCTTATTCTATAGAATGTGATAAGATTTATTAATTTAGTTTAATTATTATGTTAATTAAACTAAATATCAATGAATATTAAAATTAGCGAGTGAAATATGCTATTGCTAGTGTATTAATAAATATATATCCTAGTAATAGCGATCACATATTATGAAGAAAAAAATAATTCAATTTTTGTTTACAAAAAAACAATTCAGCAGTAATTTTAAACACAACATTTAAGACAAGAATAATTCAAACGATAATAAATATTACTTTTAAATAAAATTTCTTTACAATCAATAATATTAAAATCAAAACAATTAAAAAAAAAACATGTTAAAAAACATACCTCTAGAAGGATATAGCCACCTGTATATTCCAAGGGCTTAAAAAAGAAACAAAATCTATTTTCAGAACCACAATGTACCCATTTTACTATATATGGGAATAACTTTATCTTCTTCAACTGAAAATCATGGTTTTTATATTATCTTTTTTTTCCGAATTCCGGTATTTAAGATTTGAAAAATCAACACTGAGCAACAAAAACACTGTGATGAAATCAGCTGTTTTAAGAGCACAAAGATAAAAGGATAATGATTAAAATCTTCAAAGAATAAAGGCTGAACGTGAGATAAGGAAGATGCAGAGTTAAGGAGGATGAGTAAGGGAGATGATTTTTTTATCACCCTTAAGTCGCCGATGCTGCATCTTCTCCACAGAAAACTGGACTTCCAAAGCAGCAGCAGCTAGGGTTGCCAAAAGGGATGAAGCTCCTTAATCCATCGCCAAGTTTTCTTCTCCTTGGCGTAGTTTTTCCCTCAGCATCTTTTTTGGAACCTGTGGATCGAAAAGTTTGAGTAAAGATCTTGTAGAAAGAAATAATCGATGAGATAATGAATGTAATCAAAGGCTATAAAATATATAAAAAAGCAGTTATTTAAAATTAAATTACCATGAATAAAATATTGCATTTTTGATTTTTTTAAATCTTAATTTCATTACGTAAATCAGTTTTAAAAAAAACTATTGCAGATCTTAACAGAGGCTAAATAACTGTTCAAATTACGTGCTTTTGAACATAAATGCTCTCCTTCTTTTTTATCAAATACCTGCAATGCTTTATAAAACAACCTTTCAATGTTTGTTACATTTATATTATTTAATTAAAAAATAATTTTAAAAGATATTACAAAAGATTGTGAAAGATTTTTGATTTTTTTAAAATCTTAATTTCATTACGTAAATCAGCTCTAAAAATATTATTGCAGATCTTAACAGAGGCAATCACTATTCAAATTACGTGCTTTTAAACATAAATGTTCTCCTTTTTTTATCCAATGCCTGCAATGTTCTATAAAACAACATTTCAATGTTTGTTAAATTTACATTATTTAATTAAAAAATAATTATGAAAGATATTACAAAGATCGTCAATATTTTAGTGTAATAAATTGTTTATTTAATGATTCATTAATTAAAAATGTCGGCATGCAAACTTTTTTTAATTTCATGATAAATATTTTAATTTTAAAATAAACTGATTCAATATAATATGAGGGGATTATTTCAGATATTAAGAATATAATTTCTTTTATTTTTAGACCAGAAACTAGTGATAAAATAAAAAAACAAAATATTTTTTTAAGCTACTTTAACCAAAAGAAAGGTTATTTCAAAACACAAATTTTACAATATTCATTCAAAAATAAATTATGTTTGCTCTCACCTATTTTTGCCATATTATTTATCATTGCATTCATATGTTTATAATCCTTAATTAACAGTTCATAAAAATGTATAAAAATAATTACAATCAATAATCAAGCTGCTTAAAAATAATTGAAAAAACTTTAAGCAAAAATAAGTAAGAACGTTATTTTCATTGAGCTAAAATTTATAGCGTAATTTTATAATACCAAAGGTATAATTTTAAATAATACTGTGGAGTTGATTTTTTGCTCAACAACTTATTTCATTTTTATTGAAAAACTGAGATATCTCTAACAATTTGCAGAAGAAGAGTGAAGAATAAATACTCTTATGCAAATAGTGATTCATCAAGTAAATGATGCAACGTATTGTTATGGCTATTAAATATCTTCGCTTACCTTCGCTTGTGTATCATGTTTAGAAATCAAGAATGAAAACTTATTTTCATTAATATTTCAAAACATTCATAAACATCTTTTTCAAATACAATAAGCAGAAACTAGAAGTCAGAAATTTAATTGAAAGAATCAATAGGTTATTCGATATTCAGGGAATGGATAACTTAATATATTTTTTTCTATTTCATTTCTCTATTTGTTTAGTTTTGCTTCACATCAGGATTGGCATGAATTAAATCATGATTAAAATCACGATTAAAATCGCATGATCTTTTTTTTAAGAAAATCATTTATACTTAAATAAATTGTATTTTTTCAAACACAAAACTTAGGCGAAAATAATTTTTTTATAATATTTATAGTTATATTCCTTGAGTTCCAATTTTTTGAAAATCTGATATTACAGATAATTAAGTTTTCATACAAAGAAATAATGAAAGGGAAATGTATGTGTTATTTCAAAATAAGCTAATAAATAGCAAAAGAGGGGAGACAATAAGTGACACAAAATTTTTAAATTATAATTTTACCGTAAAAACCGTAGAAAATCGCCATTTACAAATGACACTTAATTCATATGTATCACTGACGGTAATATGTACTACTGCTATTATGGTAATTGGCGAATTGGTTTTGATGAGAGTTCAACAACGGGAATTCCGTAGTTTCAGAAAATATTTTTTCCAGTGGTAGCTAAGATAGTGTATTAATATTTTAAAGAATTATAATTAAAAGAATTTTTTTTCCACCGCATATAAATATTTTAACAGTAAATTAAAGGTCAGATAGAGATATGGTCAGCCTCATCAGCATTGGCATGACAGCCCTTTGTGAGTCTGGGCCTTCCTCAGAAGCTTTTCCCATTCTGCCCTTCTCCCAGCAATTGTTTTCCAGTTCTTTACTTTTAGGATGGCAAAATCCTCATCTACACAGTCCTTCCATCTCTTTTTGGGCCTTCCTCTTGGCCTTTTATTGGAGGGGGTTGCATTAGAGACTCTCAATGCTGTTCGTTCTGGGCTCATTCTCACTACATGCCCGGCCCATCTCATTCTACTTAATTTAATAGATTTAATGATATCATCGCCATCAAAGATCCTATATATTTCAAAATTATATCTTTTCCTCCAGTTGTCGTTATCGAGTATAGGGCCAAAGATGGTTCGTAGGACCTTCCTTTCGAAGGTTGCTAATAACTTTTCTTCCCTTTTTGTTAAAGTCCATGTCTCTGAAGCATAAGTCAAAACTGACTTGATTAATACCTTATAAAGTAAAATCTTCGTCTTTCTTTTTATTAAGTGATATTTCAATAATGATCTTAAACCATAGAAGCAGCGATTGGCTGCAATTATTCTTTTTCTGATTTTTGGATTAATGCCATTTTGGTAGTTTATTTCTGATCCTAGATAAGTAAAATTTTTTACAGATTCAAATTTAAAAGAATCATTTTCAAACNCTGTCTAACTCCATTATGAATTTCAAAAGAAGTGGATAGTTCCCCTTGAATTCGTACTGTTGAAATGGTTTCAGTGAGTGTGAGCATTACAAGTCTGATTAATTTTGATGGAATATTAAAATCATATAGGGTCCTTAATAGCTCAGTCCTATTAATACTATCATATGCCGCCTTAAAATCCACAAATAAATGATGGGTCTCTATTCCAAATTCTCTACATTTCTCCAAAGTTTGTCGTAGGGTGAAGATTTGGTCAACTGTGGACCTTCCTTTGCGGAAGCCACACTGATAGTCACCTATGACGCTGTCTACAATGGGAGACAGACGTTCAAATAGGATATTTGAGAAGACCTTATAGGCAACGCATAACAGACTTATTCCTCTATAGTTGTGACAGTCCAATACATCCCATACATATGGTAAGATATGGTAATCTTTTTAAAATTCGGGGATATTTCTTCTTAAAATTCGGCTTCAGTTGGCTGCTACTGACAAATATGCATAAACTAAAATGCTGAAGTGTTGTGTAATAAGCACCAAATATACTTAGATAGGTATAAAATATTACATTGATATATTTGGTGATGATATATTTGGTTTGCTTAATTTAGGTAATATATGCATATTGAAATAAAATGAATTAACTACGTATTAGAACGCAAAAGTAATGGAGTAAAGATATTTATCTAAAAGAACCATAAGAAATCATCATACTATCATTAACGACAATGATATGCTTAATTAATGTTAGTACAGTAGGGAGCCGATTATCTGGAACGATCGGGACCATCGCTATTCCGGATAACTGATTTTTCCGGTTTTCTGAATCGCTACAAAAAACCGTTTTTTTATTGTTAAACTCAACTTAAAAAAAAAAAATTGGAAATAATCTTAAAAAGAAGAAAAAACGATGAAGTAATACACTAATGATTATTTCCAAAATGATGGCAAGGTAAAGATCTTTCAAAAAAGAAAGAAAAATCCTAAAATCTTATGAGGAAAAAAAATTTTGCTTAAAAAAATGGGGGGGGGGGAAATTTATCGAATTTCGTTCCGGTTTTTTGGTTTTCCGGTTTTCAGAATTTCGGATAACGGGTTCTGTACTGTAATATGTTAATTGATTTTAAAAAAATTGCGTTCTGAAAAGCAAATATAATGGAGCCTATACTTAGTCATTTAGGGGAGCCGTAAAAAATCACGATATAATTATTGACACTAATGCTTAATTACTACTCATAATATGAATTAATTGAAATAAAACAAAGCCAGCTATGTGCTAAAAAGCGAATTTAAAGGAAAAAAAGGTTAATAGGAAATTCGGTTAGGAAAATCGTAGAAAATCGCCATTTACGGATGACGTTTACTTATTGTGCACTACTGACGTTAATATGTTTCTACTGGTATTATGGTGCAGTTTTGAAAACAATTCTACAACGGGTTTTTCGTAATTTCAGAAATTATTTTTTTTCAGTGATTCAGTTATTTCAAAGATAGTGTATAATATTTTAATAGATTAGAATATGAAGAATTTTGTTTCCTTACTACTTATAAATATTTTAATAGTAAATTAAAGGAGATAGAGATTGATAAGATTTTTAGAGAGTGGGTATTTCTCTAATTTTAATAAGAATTCTATTTTTTTTAAAGAAAATTTTGGGTTTTGTTGGCTGCCACTGATAAATGTATTTTTCACGAATTTTAAATGTTGAAGTGTTATGTAATATGTTCTAAATATACTAATAAAGGTATAAAATACCATATTGATATATTTGGTGATTATTAAGACAGCAACAATACTTAGTAGTACATACTGATACTTTGGAAATAAACGTTTTACGGTCCTCGAAAAGGATATGTACCTTAGAAAATTACTTGATAGTGCAATAGCATCATGCGAAGTGATACTAAATACATTTTATCTTTGTTCTAACGGGATAAACTAAAAAAAAACTGGTTTTGCTTACTTCAATAACACAAAGCCACAAAAAATGGCAACAAATAATATTAAATAATTTTTTTAAAATTATTTTAACTACATTAATTTAAAAACTTAGTTAATGAACTAGGAAAGCTACATTTTCAGAACTAAAAGAAAAGTTGCATCCGAACTATTTTATTGCCAATTTATTAAAAAGAGGGACTAATATTTCTTTGTTTTTATTTATTTACCACTGCCTAATTTGAAATAAAAATCATGCAAGCATACTGAAAACTGATGTAATTAGTTATGTTAAGATTTGAGTGAAGGC